AGATATTAATTGGAAACTAAATAATCTGATCCTAAAGAATGAGTGAGTCAAACACCAAATCATAGAAACAATCAATAACTTCATCCAAGAGAATGACCATGAGACAACATACCAAAACTTAAGGGATGCAGCAAAAGCAGTTCTTAAGGGAAGTTTTATATTTCTGTATGCTTAAATGAATAAAATAGAGAAAGAAGAGGTCAATGAATTGGGCATGCAACTAGAAAAAGATAGAAAAAGAACAAATTAAAAATCTCCAATTAAATACCAAATTAGAAATTCTGAAAACCAAAGGAGAAATTAAGAAAATTGAAATTAAGAAAACTATTGAACTAATAAATAAAACTAAGAGCTGGTTTTATGAAAAAACCAATAAAATAGATAAACCTTTGGCTAATTTGATTTATTAAAAAAAAAAGAAGAAAGAAGAAAAACGGAATTACCAGCATCAGAAATGAAAGGGTGAATTTGCCACCAATGAAGAAGAAATCGAAACAATAATTAGGAGCTATTTTGCCCAGCTGTGTGCCAATACGTTTGACAGACTTATTGAAATGGATGAATATTTACAAAAATGTAAATTACCCAGATTAATGGAAGAAGAAATAAAATACTTAACCCCATTTCAGAAAAAGAAATTGAATAAGCCATCAATGAAGTCCCTAAGAAGAAATCTCCAGAGTCAGATGGATTTACAAGTGAATTTTATCAAACATTTAAAGAACAACCAATTCCAATATTGTATAAACTGTTTGGGAAAATAGGTGAAGAAGGAGTCCTTCCAAATTTTTTTTATAATACAAATATGGTGCTGATACCTAAACTGGGAAGAGCCAAGACAGAGAAAGAACATTATAGACCAATTTCTCTAATGAATATAGATGCAAAAATTTTAAATAAAATATTAGCAAAGAGATTATAGTAACTTATCTTGAGGATGATACACTACAACCAGACAGTATTTATACCAGGAATGCAGGACTGGTTCAATATTGGGAAAACTATCAGCATAATTGACCATATCAGTAACAAAACAGAAATCATACGATTATCACAATAGGTGCAGAAAAAAACATTTGACAGAATACAACACCCATTCCTATTAAAAACACTAGAAAGCACAAGAATACATGGAATCTTCCTTAAAGTGATAGATAGCATCTATCTAAAACCATCAGCAAGCATTATATGTAATGGGGATAAATTAGAACATTTCCAATCAGATTGGGAGTGAAACAAGGATGTCCATTATCACCACTGTTATTCAATGTTGTCCTGGAAATGTTAGCTTTAGTAATAAGAGAAGAAAAAGAAATCAAAGATATCAGAAAAGGCAAAGAAGAAACAAAGCTATCACTCTTTGCAGATGATATGGTGGTATACTTAGAGAATCGTAGAGAATCAAGTAAAAAATTACTTGAAATAATAAATTTAGCAATGCTGCAGGATATAAAATAAGCCCACTTAAGTCATCAGCATTTCTATCTATTACTAACGTAGCCTAACAGTAAGAGATAGAGAAATCCCATTTAAAGTTACGGTAGTGATTATAAAATATTTGGGAGTCTACCTGCCAAAACAAACTCAGGAACTATATGAACACAATTATAAAACATTTTTCACACAAATAAAGTCACATCTAAATAATTGAAAAAATTATCAGTTGCTCATGGGTAGGCTGAGCTAATATAATAAAAATGACAGTTTTACCTAAATTAATATACTTATTCAGTACCATACCAATCAAACTACCAAAAAATTATTTTATAGAGCTAGAAAAAAACAATAACAAAATTCATCTGGAAGAACATGAGGTCCAGAATATCAAGGGAACTAATGAAAAGAAATTCAAGGGAAGGTGGCCTAGCTGTACCAGATCTTAAATTGTATTATAAACAGCAGTCATCAAAACTACTTGGTACTGGCTAAGAAACAGAGTGGTGGATCAGTGGAATAGGTTAAGTATGCAGGATATAACAATCAATGACTATTGTAATCTACTATTTGATAAATCCAAAGACTCCAGCTTCTGGGATAAGAACTCACTATTTAACAAAAACTGCTGGGAAAACTGGAAAATAGTATGGCAGAAACTAGGCATAGACCAACGTCTTACATCCTATAACAAGATAAAGTCAAAATGGGTACGTGATTTAGATATAAAGACTGATACTATAAGCAAACTAGAAAAGCAAGGAATAGTTTACCTGTCAGATCTATGAAGGGAAGAATTTATGACCAAACAAGAGAAAGAGAATATTATGAAATGCAAAATGGATGACTTTGATTACATTAAATTGAAAAGTTTTTGCGCAAAGCCAATGCAACCAAGATTAGAAGAGAAGCAGAAAACTGGGAAAGAATTTTTCTAACCAGTGTCTCTGATAAAAGCCTCATTTCTAAAATATATAGAGAACTGAATTGAATTTATAAGAATACAAGTCATTCCCCAGTTGATAAATGGTCAAATTATGTGAACATGCAGTTTTCAGAGGAAAAAACTAGAGCTATCCATAGTCATATGTAAAAATGCTCTAAATGACTATTGATTAGAGAAATGCAAATCAAAACAACTGTGAGGTACTAAATCACACCTATCAGATTGACCAACATGACAAAACAGGAAATTGATAAATGTTGGAGAAGATGTGGGAAAATTGGGACACTGACGCCCAAAGGGCTGTAAAATTGTGCATACCCTTTGACCTAGCAATACCACTTGTATGTCTGTATCCCAAAGATATAAAAATGGGAAAAGGAGCCAAATGAACAAAAATATTTATAACAGCTCTTTTTGTGGTGGCAAAGAATTGGAAATTGAGGGAATTCCCATCAATTGGGGTAAGGCTGAACAAGTTGTGGTATGTGAATGTAATGGAATACCATTGTGCTACAAGAAATGATGAGCAGCTTTTAAAGTTGTAGTTTTAACTGTTAATGATGGGATGTTGATTCTCTGTGTAAAGTAATTTGGAAATGCATTTAACAAAACTGAAGTCCCCTGATTGGTAATGGGTTTATTGTAGGTTTCAAATTGGTGAACTTTTTGTATCAGTTATCTCAAGCAACTTCTCATAATTTGGTTACTGCTAAAATAATTTGACTGTTGTTAGTTATTGTTTTAATGTATAAACTTGCCAAAAAGCTTGTTTGGGTTTTGATTTGCTGAGAACTTTCAAGTATATAGAAATCTAACAATTGGCTTTTTACACCAGGACAGACTTAAGTTTGAGATGTAAATCTTTGGAAAAGTTTTTCCTAAGCTATGATTAGTGAAACTTGCTGTGTGAGGTAAAAGCTCATAGGATTTTATTTTGAGTTGTCTGATGGATTGTGATAATCCATCGACAATCAATAATCTACCACCTGAGAGAAATGCCACAAGTTGCTCACAGTATGTGATACTGGTGGGAAGTCAGCATCAGGAAAAACTGAGAGGACAATTTTAGCTTCACTCTAAGATGGGATCCTCCTGGCTCAGTTTCCCCATTATATTCCTTTGAAAAGGAATGTTACCCACCTACCTGGCTATTCCTGAGTCTGGCTATGAGGTAGATTTAATATTGCATGGTTGGAAAAGTGAATTATCTGAATCCAAACTAAGAATGTTTTATCTTGTCATGTCTGGGCCCTGCAGTCTTTTCTGTCAGATTTGTGTCTTCTAGACTACAGGCCATTCTCCTACAATTGAGAGCAAACCGCGGGTACTAGCCAACGTCCCTCCATCGTTCCTTGGATGCATCCTGTGCTCGGTTCCAGTTAACCTCTTTGGGACTGCCTTGATGCAGGGCATCTATGCCCCTTGCCAGCAGGAAGCAGTTTCAGAAGCCTAGACCTTCTCCCCTTACGCCAAAAGAATTTGGGTCCCATTTGTTTGAGGGGGGAATGATGGGGATGGGAGCTAGATCCCAAAAAGGAAGAACCCCTGGACTTTCCCACAAGGCCAAATCTCTGGCGTTTGCCTGAGGCTATAATCCCATCAACTGGCCTTTCACTGTGACTACACCCAATCTCCCAATTCTGTTACCCTTAACCCTAGCTCTCCATTGTCTTACCTCCCCATGACCCCCAGCCACTTTCCACCCTTAATCCTACCTAGGCTCCATTCTCCCTTGGCCATGTGGTCCAGGTCCCTGGAGTTCTATTACCTCATAGATTTCTTGGCCACTCCTAGATCCCTCTCATAGTCTTTCTGTGTAGAAGGTCCATCTTGTCTCCATTAAGGTGCTCTGATTCTTATAATCTAGCCACTGCTCTGATTTTTACAATCTAGCCAATAGCTCACAGGTGCTTAGATTCCTTAAGAGTCTGGCTAATATGACGGATTTTTAATAAACCTTGTTTTTGGCTGAAGAAAAAAAAAATGATGAGCAGGCAGACTTCAGAAAAACCTGGGAAGAACTGTATCCACTGATGCTAAGTGAAGTGAGCAGAACCAGGAGAACATTGTACACACTTAGCCCTTCTCAGCAATGCAAGGATCTAAGACATCTCCAAAGGTCTCATGATGGAAAATGCTATCCACATCCAAAGAAAGAACTATGGAGTTTGAATGCAGATCGAAGCATACTATTTGCTCTCCTTTTCTTTTGTTGTTTTGTTTTGTTTCTTCTTTCTCGTGGTTTCTCCCATTAGTTCTAACTCTTCTTTATATCATGACTAACATGAAAATATGCTTAATTTGAACAAATAAATAGAGCCTATATCAGATTGCATAGGGAGGAGAGAGGTAAGGGAGGGGAGAAAATTTAAAATTCACAATCTTATGGAAGTAAATGTTGAAAACTAAAAATAAATTAATTATATATTTTAAAATGGCAATAAAATTTAAAAAAGAAAAGAAAAACACATATAACATTTAGGACCTTCCATTTGCCAATAGATGAGGTTATCCCTAATGTCATCTGTGATAAATTAGAATGAGATATTCTCCCCATGTACAGAGAAAATGTCGTATCCTATTTCTCAATCTTTAAAATTTATTGCTTTTTTTTCCTTAGATTAAAGTTGTGGATCCAAAAAAAAAAGCTGCACTACCATTGCAGGTACAGGAGAAGCAAGTAATGTTATCAGTTCAGCTTCTACAGAGTCAGCTTTTAATGAACCTGGAGGCTTATGTATTGGAGAGGATGGTAATTTGCTATATATTGCTGATACAAATAATCATCAAGTTAAAGTGATGGATTTGGAAATGAAAATTATTTCTGTGGTAAGTAGAAATCTTATGATTTATAAGTTAAACATTTTATTGAGTTAAATATGTTATCAGCTTTCTTATAGAATTTAAAACATGAACTAGACAAAGTCCCTCTATATCAAATGATTGAAGACAGTTACCCAGAATAGTAAATGATTGCCCACAATATTTTTTGATAACCAGACTGACAAGATTGCTTTAAGGATATCCTGTTATTCTTAAAATAAATGTTCCATCTGTGCTGAGAGTTTGGGAATGATGTTGCAGCTTGGAGAAGTATTGATGGTCTTTCTAAAATAGAGTGGGGGGAAGCTCAGTGTTCTGTTTTGGTTTTTTTACATTTACTTGTATATGTGTCTTTATATGTATTTATATGTGCACCAGAACAGTAACCTAGTATAAGGGATTTGAGGACCAGCCTTGGAATCAGAAAAAAACTACGTTCATATCCTACCTTGATACATCAAAGCTGTGGGATGATGGGCAGATCACTTAACCTCTCAGTGCCCCCAGGCAACTCTTTAAAACTATAAATTAAAACAAGTTGTCATTTGTTTTTCTGGAGGGAGGTTACACACCAGCAAATTCAAACAGTGATGAAATCACAGGTTTGAACATATATATCTGTATACTTATGTGTGTATACACATACATGCAGATATGCATATGCACATATATAAGAAATATACACATTTATATTGATTGATGTTAAATTAACCTTTAAATAGGTAGTCTTAATTGCTGATGGTACTATGCTGATATATTATTAGATAACCTTGCCAAAAGAAGGACTAGAACCCAATTTCCTAAGCCACTAAAATTTAGTTAAAATAAAAATAAATCTCTTGTAGGTTTTTCATTTTAGCAATAAGAGATATAAGAGAGGCAACATAATGTAGTGTATTGAGAGGTGGGAGGAAAAGAGAAAAAAGAATAAGGACATAAAGGAGGGAAATACACAATTAACAGTCATAACAGTGAAAATGAATGGAATGAGCCCACTCATGTGGGGGGGGCAGTGAGGGAGTAATAGATTATAGTAGAAAATAGAATCCAACGTGTTTACAAAAAAACCTACTTGAAATATAAATATTCACATAAAATTAAATGAAGGGATTGAGCATAATTTTTTAAGCTTCAGATGAATTTTTAATAGTATTGTTAAAAGAAATAGCAAAGAAACTACATTATGCTTTGTGGCTCAATGAAACTCATTTCTTGACATATATATACTGACTGGTATAAAATCTACAAACTTAAAAGAAGAGTTTATTGAATTATGTAGAATAATAGAAAGCAAAACTCTGTTGGGGGACCTCAATGAGCTCCTTTTAGATCTAGACAAATCTAGAAAATGTTAAGCAAGAAGTAAATTATTATTCAGTAGAATTTTAGAAAAGGTAGGTATGACAGATCTCTGGTGATTACTGAATGGGAATATAAAGAAATACCCATATTTCTCTACTAAATGTGGCACCTTTAAAAAATTGACCATGTGCTAAGACATAATCTCATAAATAAATGTCAGAAAGGAGGAATATTAAGCACCCTTTACTGACAACAGCGCAATGAAGTTATAATCAATAAAGGACATTTAAAGAAAAGATTCAAATTAAATAGGTACTAATTAATTTGATATAAAGAATTGGTGAATCAAAGAATAATCATAGAGAAAAGAGATAATTTAAACAAAGGAAATTGCAACAGTGAGGTATCATATCAGACCTTTTGGGATGCAGCCAGAACAGTTCTGAAAGGGAAATTTCTATCTTTAAATAATTTAATCAATGAAAGAGAAGAAGAATAGATCATTAAAATGACCAGGCAACAGATTTTAACAGCTCAACTAAACACAAAATTATAAATCCTAAAAATCAAAGAAGAGATAAAATTTAAAACAATGAAGTTGAATTTATAATTAATACTAGGAGTCAGATTTTTAAAAGGAAGAAAAAACTAATAAAAAGAGCAAACTGTTAGTTAATCTGATGGAGGAAAAAAAAGAGGAAAAACAATGCCAATATCAAAATTGGAAGGAGGAAAAAATTTCATAACAAATGAAGAGGAAATAAAGGATATTTATTTACAAACTGTTGTGCCCAGTTATATGCCAGGAAAAAAACCCAATAACTTAATTAAAATGAATGATGCTTTACAAAAACAAAAAATACCCAGATTATCAGAACAAGAAAAAAAAATTTTTTTAAACTTAATTCAAGGGAAGAAAAATTGAATGACCTATAAATGAACTCCAAAAGAATAAAACCTGAGAACTAGATGGAGATGGAGATCCCTCAAGATGAGTTTTCTTATAATTTGGTCTAATTCAATAAAAGGCCAGCTAATAAAATTAGAGGAAAATGAAAGAAGTTTCACAACTATGGATAGAGGAAGAGTTCTTGATGTAACAAGGAATGGAGAAGTTCAGAGAAGATTAAACGAACAAAAGCATCCACCCTAGAAATGTTCCTTTTTGTTGGTGAGAATCAGTATCCAGGCCCTCATTGGCCTCTCTACCATTTGAAAGATGAAGTTAACAATTTCTTGACTGTTCTGGTGAAAGAGAAGAATATAAGCAGATGTCTTCATAGTTGAAGTATCCCATTATTACTATATCATACCTCTGTCGCCAGGCTTGTGATCTGACACCCAAATTCTTTATCTCTTTCCTCCTTCAGTTTCTGTGCTTTCCTTCTGGTTTCTTAGATTTCCCTTCTTAATAAATAGTGCTACTGTGCTCCCCTTACATCTGTATTTCATCCTAATTTGTTCCTTTTAAAAAAAGGTATATTCTTCCAGTGCTGCGTTCCAATCTTGAGCTTTGTTCTACCAAGTCTTACCGATATTAATTTTAAATTGTCTCCCTGATTTAGTTCACTTTCTTTATTGTCCACGTCTTGTGCATTTGTGTACAGGTATCTGAGGCCATAGGTTTTATTTCTGTCCCCTTTCTTGAATTTTTATCATATGATTTTTTGGGTATCTCTACTGCCCTTCTTTAGACTATTATAAATAAAATAACCCATTAAACAAATTTGTGCTTAGTAACTTTAAAAAAAATTTTTTTTATAGCTTTCTGTCATCAATTCGGAAGCTGCTGTTGTTGATGGCCCATTTCTAGAAAAGCAGAAGACAGTAAAACTACCCAAACTTCCTAAATCTTCTCCAAATGTTAAACTTTCACCATTGACTGTGTCTCCTGGACAGAGTCTTCAGTTTATACTAAGATTAGATCTTCCTGCAGAAACAAAACTAACTGAAGGAGCGCCTAGTTTCTGGTTTCTAACAGCTGAAGGTAAGTACATTACTGATATTGCCAATGACATAAGATATTAATATGCTTCCCTTCCTCCCCTATCACCTGATATATTAACAAATATTCACACAGTGAATAGAGTGTTGGACATGGAGTCAGGAAGACCTGAGTTCAGATTTTTCTTCTTCAGATTTACTGTGTGATGTTAGGCAAGTCACTCTCTTAGTTTCAATTTCTTTATCTATAAAATGGGGATAATAATAGCATCTACCTCCCAGGGTTGTTGTAAGGATCAAATGAGGTAACAAATTAACTGCTTTGTAAACCATAAAGGACCATACAAATGCTAGCTACTATTGTTGTTGTTGTTGTTGTTATTAAATTATAATAATTTAAAGTGTTATTCTTCCCAGAATTCCTCAGAATCCTGTGAAAAGACATTAAACTTTTAATCAGAAGACCTGAGTTTATTTCTGAGCTTAGATACTTACTAATACCTGTCCCCCTTTAACAGCCATTTTGTTGACCATCATTACTCTGAAATTCTTTCTCTCATCTACTAAAAGATAGTAATTCACCTGAAGCTACATATCAGTCATTGTCCAAATTAATTGGAACGTAGTCCTGTGAATGCTTATTCTTGCCATTATTGTGTTTTCCCTGAAAGGAGCCACTATGAACAGAAAAATCTAAAACAAGGCTTGACAGTGAAACTGCAGATCACTGGCCTGGATATCAGGAGACTTTGATTCTTAGTCCAGCCCTGTCACTTGCTGATTGTGTGACATTAAATAAATGACAAGTTCTCTGGACCTCAGTTTTCTCATCTATAAGATGAGGCTAACCTAGATATGTAAGTTCTAAAATTCTGTGGTTCTGTGAAATAGCCCTGCAGTACTCACTCAGGAGAAGCAGGAAGAAAATAGACAAAAAGAAAAAAGACAGAAAAGCAATTGGATAAAGAGTCAGAGGAGTGAAAACTCATTTATTTATATCCTAGCCAGTGGCAAGGAGCTGGTACATCTACTCTGACAAATTGACCAGTATATAATATTCTTAAAATTTCCAAAGAGCTCCTCCTATAAGCCATGATTGCTGCCTCAAGGTTAAAAGGGAATGAAATTATGTTCTTTTCAAATAATGTTTTTGTTATAAGGTATAACAAGAATTGACACATTATTAAGTATAATAAATTGGCATTCAATGCCAGCTGAAAAAACATAATTGTGTGCAAAATTTCTTGTTAAGCATATACAATGAGATCATAGTCACCAGAGATATTAACTGTGGGAGAAAGAGCACTAAATGAGGGGTCAGAAAACTTGGGTCAACTAACTCATAGGCTGAAGAGGACCATTTCTCCTTCCATTTATTCATCTGCAAATGGGAGTAACCGCTCTCCCTCCCATAGTTGTGTTGAATAAGAAGAGTTACAGTAACATCCTACTTAAAATCATAAACTTTAATGCTAATCTTAGGATATTGAGACCCAGGAAGGCTAAGTATATCATAACTAATTAGTGGCAGAGTTGGGCCTTGGATCCAGTTCTCTTGACTTTTAGTCCAGTATTCTTTCTTCTACATTACAGTGCCTCCTTCTCTGAAAGTTGGATTTCCAGCAACTTCAACCATGCAGAACATAATTCTGAATACAAAAGTCAGTGAATGTATCTTCTGACCATGCAAAATAGCTGTCAGAAAGCAATAGTATTAACTCTGCACACTTTATTACTTCAGTATATTACCAACTTATTTATTGACGTGCAATTCTTCTTTTTGGTGGGGGAGGTGAGGCAGTTGGGGTTAAGTGACTTGGCTAGGGTCACACAGCTAGTGTCAAGTGTCTGAGGCCACATTTGAACTTAGGTCCTCCTGACTCTAGGGCTGGTGTTCTATCCACTGCGCCACCTAGCTGCCCCAAACTTTGTTGTTATTGTTTTTCAGTTGTTTCAGTCACGTCTGACTCTTCATGACCCCATTTGGGGTTTTCTTGGCAGGTATACTGGAGAGGTTTGCTGTTTCCTTCTCCAGCTCATTTTACAGATGGGGAAACTAAGACAAACAGAGTTAAGTGACATGCATTGAACCACAGAGCTAGTAAGTGTCTGAGGCTGGATTTGAACACAGGTCCTCCTGACTCCAGAGCCAGTGTTCTATCCACTGTGCTACCTAGCTGCCCCGGCATGCAATTCTTAACAGTCTTGGTTGCCTAGTTTCATAGCCAACAGCACTTTATAAGTAGTCAACTAGAATGGAAATGAGTTACCACAAAATTATATGCAGCAGAAATTTGCATTTCCTAGGCCAAGTATTTTGTCTTTTTTGTGTTAAGACTATTTTTATCAAAATATGTAATTTTTAAGTAGTGTAGTATTTTTATAGGAAATTCAAGTTGTTCCAGCACTTTTGCAAATAATATTTAATTTTGCTAGTGTAAAGGCATTAGATTATAAATAATGCAAGAGCATAAAATTACAGAGAAATACTTGATATAATTCTGTCTTCAGTATTTGGCACACTTTAATTTCAACAGAGTGAGATTTATAAATTTGGTATAGTATTTATTTGTTCACATAAAGGAAAAAATATGAAGACAGCCTATAAATGCATAATAAAAAAAACTATTCTCCATTTACATGTAAATGTTTTATGATTTTAATGATTTTGTTTTTTATTTCCTAGGTAATGAATGGCTTCTTGAAGGACAGACTCCATCAGGAGAAATTAGGAGTCTTTCTAAGCAACCTGTGATATCACTGCAGATTCCTCATAGTTGCTTGTCCTTTGAAGCAGTTGTGTCCATCTGTGTGTGCCTCTATTACTGTAGTGCAGATAACAGCGCCTGTATGATGAAAGGAATTCTATTTAGTCAGCCTTTACAGATTTCTAATACACACCATAGTAACACACCTCCAGTAGAGCTGAGATATGTGTTTTAGACAGCTAATCCTCCGCAATTCAGCCAGTCACTTTAACTTATTGCTCACTATTTTTATACAAGCAACCAAACAGATGGCTTTCCTTCTGTCCCTTATCACCTAGTGTTTAAGACAGAATAACTTGAAATTCATTACTTTATGACAGCATCTGCTATTTAAATGAAATTATGTTAATTTTCTACTTATTTAAAAACTAGTTAAGTCCTAGGTTGTAGTTTGGACTGTGACTCTGTATGGAGTATGGCTCTATAATCTAACTATGTTCTGAAAAGAAATGTTTGAGCTCCAAATTAGGACTAGTAAAATTAGGTGCAGTTGATAAAATATGGAGTGCTTTATCTGATTTGCCTTTATTGAACTCTGTAGCTTCTTTCAGTAAATACATAATACTTTTCACAGGAACCAAGATTAAATCTACAATTTTGTAAAGAATTGTCTGAATCCCAAACATAAGTTCTTTCTTTATTTAAAAACGGTTTATCACAGTAAAATTTTAAAGAAGACTTTGATATGAATATCTGAGTCATAATGTATATTTAAAATATAGATTTACCTATTTTATGGACATTGGGTCTGCTGCTCTGATACCATAATGTTTGCCTTATGTGAAGAGGATAGCCTTATAACAAAAAAAATGCAGAGATTGCATTTGAATGCTACTTTTTTGAAAGCTACTCTTTGAACTTGGGCTGAAATACTTACTATAGTTATACCAAACAGTGAATGGGGTCCAGCAAATGTTCTAGTTTTGCAAGGAAAAGGAATATTTTTGTGTTGCCATTTATAGTAATGTTGTTAGAGAATTCAGTGTGACTGGCAGTTGAATCAGATCAACACTGTTTGTACCTCATGAATTTTATTCTTCTGTATTAACATGAAATGCAAATATATTTGACCTCTTTTGGTTTCTCTCTTCCAAAATTAAAATTCTATGAATTTTGTGTTATTTTTAAACAACTCTTTAACTATTCAAAGTTGAAATACTCCACTACTGTCAGTAGGTATAGTACATTGTACAAACTAATTCTCCATATTGTCAAAGCTGAATTTAGGTTGTTCTGATGATCTCTCTTTTCTCTTTACTAAAAAGAACAACCTTTGAGGACACTTAGAAGGGCTGCTTTTTTATTTGTAAGCCATGAAAGCTTATTCTTTTATGCTGTTGAAGTAACTGTAAAATATGTACTAGGATGAGAATGACATTTTCCCCTAAATTATAGTTTTAAAAATATCTTCAAGGCTTTTCCTGACACCTTTTAGTTAATTGTTGAGATGGTTTGTCATATCTGTTACTTTCTACAAAAACTGAACCTGCTCATGATTTGATCAAATGTCTTGTTCTTTAAAACATCAAGGGAGCCATACTTATTCATTCAGTTGACAAGTACTTATTGAGCATATGGAGAAGTATGTCTTTTTTTTTTCTTTCATGAGACAATATCAAGAGATTTGTATCTACAAAGCAGTGCTAGGACATGAAATATAATTATTACTGGCCCATTTTTTCATATTGATAATAAGTTGTCAATTTGAAATAATTAACTGCTGTCATCTCTCATGGTTGAAACTCTAGTTAAGGAATTAGCTTAATTAGGAAATTTGAGTTAGATCGTTTATTTGCTAAGACTTCAAAATGTGTAGTAAGTGGGAAACCTTGGATTCTGTGTCTCATAAATTTCTTTCACAAAACACAGTAATGAGCTTTAGTACTAAAAGATCGCAATAACATTAGTCCTATTGGCTTAATATTAGAACTTGGCCAGAAAGAACAATATTCTAAATTCTCACCTGATTTATTTGGACAGGATGAGAATATTCTGGCTCAGTCATTTTCTGTTCCAAAAGAACGTGGGTTCTTTGACATGTTCTTCAAAAGTACACTTAACTTACATCAGAAATATGTTTTGATCTCAAATATATTTATAAGTATACTTAATTATGTGATCTTAAAAAGAATATTTATTCAGAAATATTTTCTTATAATTATCTTTACAAGTATATTATTTTTATATAATTAAAAGACACTTTATTTTTAGAACTGTGATTTTTTTTCTTTGTCTTTTCAAACTAATTTGTCTTCAAAAATCTTTGAAGTATGATTTTGAAAAATTATCACGCAACCAGCTGCAACTGTTTTCTCATTGATAACCCTTATTTACCAGAGGCTAATCAAATTGGTGAATAAACCGTAGAATAAGTTGTTTAAAACAACACTAAAATGCCCAATATTGAAGAGAATAGAATTTTAATAGGTTATCAGATTGAAGCAAGTATACTACATAAGGAAGAAAAGAGTACACAGTTGGGGATAATAATTTCTTCTTTTTTGCTGTATTCATTGCCTTTTGCACATTTTTAATTTTTGCTTTGCAGCTGCTTAATTTAATTTGCCCGACGATAGTGTTGTTAATCACTAACATTTTGATGAAAAGGAATGTAATTCAGTGTCTATGATAGGTATTTGCATATATTTTTAATGAAATAAATTAATATTTTTAAAGCAAACTTGAAGTGGGGGTAGTACTTATATACAAGGTCATTCTGCTGATTTGTAGCCATGTTGATTTTTTAAAAAAATTAATAGCATTGTATAGGTTATTTGTAGGATTCCCTCTTATTTTATCCACATGAACTCGGTGTTGCTGTAGTTCATGCCACAAAGAAATATTTATTTTAGATATACTGTCTTCGTCAAGTGCTTGATCTTTTTGCAAAAAAAAAAAAGGCTGTGCTGATTTTAAATATACAGTCACCACAAATAGTACACAATAGGCTACTGTGATATCTTGGCTCATTTAGAAATCGTTACTCTTAATATTTAATAAGAAGGCAAGGTTAAAAATTTTGAACTATCCAATTTTTTTATTATAGTAGCCTACCTACATAGTTGATACTCTTCTTCCTCATTTTCATTTGTCTTTGTAATTAAAAAAAATTCAAAATTGATAGTATCACTGAAATACAAGAGGCTTTTTAATACAGTAAGAAAATATGATATTGGAAAAAATTAAAAATCCTCACTATATAATAATTTTTCCCTTATGGTACAAAAAAATACCATTGGTCTGTATTCATATTCAAGCCACTTATTTGTTTATATTTAACAACTATCACCATTATTTGACTGGTTTAAATCTGTTTTTGACTGAATTGTCACTAATTTACATGTGAAGACAATTTTAAGTAGATGAACATACTGTAGTACTCTGTATCTTTTAGCATCTTCAAGATAAACTATGACAAAGTAAACACTAATATTTTGCAGCAAAAAAAATCACATTGACATCTTTGGAACAACTATCTCTTTTGTGCCTTCTTATTAACCAGTTTCAGCCTTCCTAAACTGTATATTCTGAAGAAGTTTGAAAATGGAATTGATCTTGCTGTTTTTGCTCTTTTATTATTAATTTGTATACTTTGAGTTCTTCGCAAAAAATTTTTTTTAATTTTTTTCTAACAGTTTCCCTTAAGTAAGCAGGAGCATAAGTACACTGATATTTCACTACATGATATTGCCCTTAGAATCCATACTTCAGTGCTCTTGAGGTTTTTCTAGAATGTCCAGTAATATACCTGTACCTTTTGCAGAACCCAAAGTAGGCACATCTCATTCTGAATTGTATAGCAAGTGTTAACAATTTTATCTAATATACTTAGAGCCAAATAAGAAATTTCTCACATACACTTTTACCAAATGAACAGGCTAATTTTCTGTTTTCAGAATTGAGATCTAAAAAGAAATAGAGTTTCTCCCTTTGTGCTTTTTAAAGTTCTGATAATAAAAGTCAGTGTTAGCCATAGTCTATCAATATATCTAACCAAAAACAAACAAATAAACAACTTAGCAATGTTTTCCTTAAAGGAAATTTAAAATACTAGTATTTATCATGCCAGTGATACTGAAATTGAACATTAATATTTTAGTTACATTGTCTCCTGAGCTTTGTTTCTATAGCATTCAGGGTCTAAAATAGTTCATTTTTAATAGTTCATTCCTCAGATGTTTTGTATTGTCTTTTTTTCTTAGGTTCATACAGTGTCCAGAATACTATAAGAGATTTTACATTCTTGGCAGATATATCCATTTCTTACAACCTCCCGTTGTAGAGGTTCAATAACTTTCCAATGTTAACTGTACTACTACTATTACTATTTTAATTGTCCTTAGAAATATAATTAAGACCTTATTGTAAAGACATTTAAAAAATAAATTCCTGAGCACAGGGTTGTTTGGAGTTCTTAAAGAGTTTCATGAATATTCAAGTAAGAAAAATTTAAAAATAGCCAAAGAAATCTAGAAGCTGTTAATTGGCCAACCTGTTAACATATATACAAAATGCCTGAATTTTATATGTGGCATTATATGAATTGTATTACACAAATAAAACATATAGTAGCTAGCTTCTATTCCTCTACCTCCACCCCATGACAATACCCTTCAACATGTGATAGTGATCCTGATTTCCCTTTACTATAGCCCATTTGATCCTATAATTAATCATCAGGCCCTGTTGTATAAACAATGTAGTGTCATTAAGTTGTGATCCAAAATTGCCCAAATTCAACAATGAAAACTTTTCAGTTATCAGCTCATTGCTCTCATATGATTATGATCCTCAGGACTGTCTTCATTAATTCTACCACAAAGCCCCATTCTAAAAATCATCATTGGGATGCATTGGTGTTACATTTAAATAGAGTGGTACTGTGGGGAAAATTCTGGACTAGAATCCAGAGATACGAATTGTAGTTTTGGTTGTGTGGCCGCCTGGTTGTGTGACTGTGGGCAGAGCACTTCATCTTCACAGGCCTTAGTCTCCTCATCTGCAAAATGACAGCCCTTCCACTCTTAACTCCCAGTGGTATTCTGTAGTTACAGGCAGTTCAGGTAGAGAATTCAGTCCCTTAGGTACAACTGGTTAATAAGCAAGATTCCCTTTTCCTCCTTCTTTTATGATACATGATTCCTTGACATGGAATAACTGGACCCTGAGAATATATGTAGGAATATGTTAATTTGGTCAAAAAACTTTTTTGTTTAAATTTCACTCAATAGAGTAATGTCAAAGGGGCTAATTTTGAAAGAGGCTAAATCTCGTGCCTTGTATGTTGAATCTCCACTTAACTCAATTGTAATCAATGTGGGGAACAAACCCTGGACCTTTCCAGTGTTGAAAGATCAGGTCAGATTAGCTGCTGCTAGTTTGCTGTTTTGCCTGTAGATAGCTGAAATAAAATGTCAGTCTCTTTTCAGGTCTTCAAAATGCACTGTCCACAGTTCCTAACTGTTGATGTGGTTTAATTATTTTCAAAGGTCAGTACCACGAAGTCAAAGCTGGAAAGTTAAAACCCCAGATACTTGTTGTGGAATGTTTGCATAGCTATAGTTAGGCATTGTTTGATGTGTACCTCTTCTTCGTTGGCATGCTGCTTTCAAGTATAGCAGAGGACATTTTGTTCTACTGAAAACCCCAGGACAAAGAGAAAGAATTAGAGCTATTTCTAAATCTACTTCGCTACCTAGACCACCAGTGATATGCTTTAAAAAAAAAAACCAACCAAACACTTCAGCAGTATGCCCTTTTAATAGTTTAACTGAATTCATATGAGTTCGACTTCTACTGCTTTGGGTAGCATGCTTCCCGTAGTCCTCAGTTGCACTGGTGATCTATAGTTAAGCAAGATTGGGCCATTCAGGTTTGGTTTGTTTTTTCGTTTGTTTTACCTGAAAGCATTAAAATTGCCATCAGGATGTATGAATGATATAGACAAGATGCAGCAGAGCCTTTTTTTCCCCCCCAATAGCCTGGAGCATATTTAGCATTTAAAAGTAAGTGAAATCTCAGTATCTAGAAACAGAAGAACAAGTATTTTACTTGCATGGTTTCATTTAATTTGACTTCTCATAAGAAATATGTATAAAGGTATATAGTTGAACCAAAATTGAATAGTCAGTATTGACAAGGGCGTAAAATAAAAGGCTTTGCTTACTGAAGTCTTGTATGATTGTTATAGGTATTTTAACAGTTTTGTGCCAGTGGGAGAAGCATTCAGTGCCTTTGTGCCCTAATGTGTATCCACTGTTGTGTGGCCCTGCAACACTTTACTAAGCCCCAGTTTTGTTTTGGTTTTGGTTTTTTTCTGATAAAGGATTTAAATGTCTCCCTAAATGAATACTCTTAAAATCAGTCATCCAGATTTATTCATTTAAAAAATGGATATTTTCTCGGCACACCCTGATCCTCAATCTTTGCACAGCATATAATACTTCAGTGACTAGTATGTACTTTTGGTTGAGGAAAGTTAACTGGATATACAAGTAATGAGAATAAGAGCATGGCTCTGTTACCATGAGTAACTCTCTCTCAGCATATCCCAGTTGACAGTGGCCTGGCAGTAGGAAACTACCTTGAGGTTTTAAAAGTGCTGTAGTTAATCTGCATATGTATAATGGATAATTTAAGATTAATTCTGATTTCAACT